GGTGGCTGGGATGCTACTGCAGCTCCAGTGGAGTCTGGAAAAAGGGAGAGAGCTTATTTAGGGACAGGGTATCACCTACAGCCAGCCAGCCCTTCCGCCAGGTACCCACCCGCTGCTGCAAAGGCTCCTGGAGCAGCACCCACCCGCACCAGGCAGACCCAGCCCTCCACAGCTCCAGAGCATGGGCTCAGGGTCCCCAAACTTGCCCTCCCCCCAAAGACATGCCCGCTAGCTCCACTGCCAGCCGAGCATTTCATTTCAACAGGGAATATGGCCACCTGCCTCCCAGGGAGGCAACACAGAGCTCCCACTGCGCCTGCCTTGCTCGGCTGAAGTCTCGTTCCGCTCACCTTCCGCACCCGCTGGCGCAGCCTGGCTGCTCTGCATCTTCTTCAGGCTGTCCAGGAGCGAGATGCTGCTGGCTGGGGCAGGAGCTGTTGAGGCAGGTGCAGGCCCCGGGGAGGCCACAGCAAACACCAGTGGTCTGGACACTGGTGTAGTCTCTGCAGTGGTGCTGGGGACCGCATCTACCGGGAAGGAGCAAGATATCAGGACCCACAGCGGCAGGGAACTGCCTCTTAGCAGAGCTTCCTGCAACTGCACGGACATCCCACAGCTCTGGCCCCGGGGAACCTCACCCATCACCCTGGGGACTCTGGAGCATGAGCTCTCCCAAGTACAAAGGCACTAAGAGCATCCCCAGGCCCGAGGACCAGGAACAGCAGGCCCAGGAGCTTCCCCAGCCTGCGCTACAGATACCCCAGTGCCCTGCCAGCCCTGGCCCTGGGTTTCTACTCCTTGCTGTCCCCTCCGCATTCCCAGTTTGTCCTTACCAGCCTTATCCTCCAAGACTTTGTTCAACCACTGCAACGCTGCCTTCTTCTCTGCATCCAGGTCCTCCGGCGTGATGGAGTAGCCCAGCTGAGGCGGCGGGGGCTGCCAAGAGAGAGCAGCGGCTTAGCTCCTTCTCAGGGAAGCCAGCGGAGCCTCTCTGAATGTGTGGTGAAGGCTGGCCGTCGCAAGACCCGTGAAGCAGGTGGTTCTGCCACAGCACGCTACCGCGGAGCTCCGATCCCCGTTCATTTTGGCCCCCCGGCTTGGCGCTGAGGGCACGGCAGGCCTTCCCCAGGCCATTACCTGGTCCGGCAGCAGGCAGCACAATCACACACAGCCCACCAGACACTGGGGCTGGGGATAGCGTCACTTCCCACTCGGCCAAGGACGGGGCCTCCTTCCCGAGGGCAGGCAGGTCAGTCTCCCCCCAGCCCTGCAGAAATTGCAGTGAGCACATTCTATCGCCAGAGGAGGGTAAAAGGGGCTGCGAGACAGCGACGTACCAGCACCAGCTGGTCCCCCGGCTGAGTCGGCAGCAACGGGATCTTCCGCTTGCGCTTCCCGCCGCTCCCCGACGTGGACGGCGGGCTCAGGGAATTCTGCTTCTTCCGCACTGGCGTCTCCACCACTACAGAAGGAGACAAGTCAGGACCAGCTCTGGGCAGAGGAGGTGTTTGGCTTGTACCAACTGGATCATCCCTTCTGACTCCTCTTGGGATGACCCATCACAGGGGGCAGAACCAGGGGCACGGCTGTGATGCCTTGGAAGAGCAGTTGGCCACAACACATTCCAGGGCAGTCTGTCACAACAGCCTGCTGGGGCTCCACAGGGCAGCAGCCCCCTCCCACCCGCACGGACAGTCCTTGCACACTGCCTACCCAAACCACACACCACAAACTGCACTGCTCATCTGTGATGGGCACACAGGATTTCCTCTCCATTTTAGCTGAGGAAATGCTGGAATAAGCTCAGTCTGGAATTTGATCAGGGTGCTACTTGTACCGCGGCAGATCTTGCACCAAGGCTGATATCTGGACCCATGCTGGCTTGAGGGCTGATGTTCCCCCTTGTAAGCCAGCTCCCACACATCTGCTAACACCCTGACACTGGCAGCACCCCTTGGTTTTCACCTGGAAATCCCTTCAGGGCAGTTGCTGAGGCCAGTTGAAGTGTCACTGCCTCGGGACCAGCACATTCCTAGTTTCGAGGTTACATCTCAAGCCAACCCCATCTGCAGACCTCAGCTACCTCCTGTCCCACTGCTTGCTCCTGCCGGTGGCCCATCCAGCCTGGGCACAGAGCTGGGGCCCACCTACGCTCACCTTTCTCTGTCTGCAGCTCCTTGTCCAATTTCACTGGAGTCGAAGCGTTGGAGTGTTGCGACTCCTCTTCCCTGCACAAGTGGGAGAGAGCCAGTTAGGGTCAACCCCAGGTTTGGCCCTGTCCCCAGGGAGCAGGATGAGACTGAAACACACTAAGAACTCCCACCAGCATCCCTGGTGTGTTTGTCTCCGCCAAACAGATCTCAGGACACCGGCCTTGCCCTCGCTGCAACCGGCCAGAAAGCAGCCCCAGGCAGAGGAGCTGCTCCTCTCCCCAGCATCCCAGCTCCCCAGGGCCGCTGAGCCTGCGCACGCTCTGCGGGACGAGTCAGGCTCAGGGCGGCAGCCAGGGTCCCAGACACGAGCCGCTGCCCCTCGCAGGTCCCTGGCTTGGACCCACCCTGTCGCCAGGACAGGCAGTTGAGTTGGTTTTAGTTCTGAGTAAGCTCAAGTCCTTCTCTGAGCTGGGATAGAGGAGAACAAGGGCCTGCACTCTGAGGCAGGTGCTAAAATACAGCCCTACTGTAGCTTCAGTAAACTGATTCTGAGAAGACAGCAAAAATCAGGGCCCATTTCTTGGCAGTTTTGGCAACCAGCAACCCAAGTCACCCCAATGTCACAAGGCAACGTTGCTCCTACAGCAATCTGAGCCCTTAAATCTCTAACCCGGCCTGGGAGCACGGAGTGCTGGTGCAGCTCAGCGCTGCCGCCGTGACTGCAGTGTATCAGGGACACCAATCGACACAACAAGGGGGTTTCCACGCCAGTGGGTGACCCAGCAGCCACCCTGCAGAAAGAGACTGGGACTTGCCCAGTTCCGCTGGAGAGCAGGACTTGGGTGCTGGGATGGCTGGAAAGGCAAATCACTCTACTCCCAGCTGGCATTGCCAGGAGAGTGGCTAGTTACCTGGCTTTCTTGAGAGGCCACTCCGGCGTCTGGGAGCGGGAGGACGCTGGGCTAGACAGTGGAGACATGCTCACACCACTTCTCTTCAGCAGCTGGAACGCAGAGAGAGACCGGCAGTAACTCAGTAGAGGGGCAGGCAGGGAGCACAGCCTCCCCTCCCTCCTGCTCACCCGCAGGTTAAATCCCACCTCCCAAGGCTGTGGCTTAGGAGCCCAGAGCCTCTCCCGCTTCCACATCACTTAACTTCCCCGCATATTCCATGGAGTGCAAAGTCTGGCCACCCTAAACTGAATCCACGCTGGGAGCAAGCGGCCTCCAGGCTCGTTACAGCCTGGCCGAGAGGACGGGGATGGAGGACGCTGCTGGCCAGATGCCGGCTCTCCCCTTCACGTGGCACAGGCAGAGACTGCCCACCCTTACGTGCACGGGGCTGCTCCAGCAGGAGGAGAACGCCTCCTCGCCGGGAGCTCAGAGGGAACACATCCCCATCTCAACGGTTTTACCCTTGCCCCAGACAGAGGAAACCTTTAGAAGGAAACCTTTCCCCACACAGACCGCAGGGCTCCGTTAGCAACGGCTACGTCCCACCGTCACATCTGCAAGCCTGACCCAGGATGGAAGCAGTGTTTTGTTACAGCTCAGCAGCTGCTGAGGGGACCTGGGTCAAAGTGGGAGTGCACTGCTCCAGTACTTGCTGACTCCAAGTCTGGGAGCGGTAAAGAGGTGGCAGTGCATCAAAGCCTCTTGGTTTTTTTTTCCTTTCACCTGGATCCATCCACCCTGTCAGACTGGCCAAGGCTGAGTAGGGAGGGGGTGAAAAAAAGCCTCCTTCTTGCTTTGGTGTAAAACAAGCACTGCAGCAGGACAGCTCAGGCTGGGGACTCCCCCAGCAGCGTGCACTCCAGGGCAAATAACATCGCTGCCTGCTGCTGCTGGCCCAGCAGCCTGCCTGACCCACGGGGAGATGAAGCTGCCGGGCTGAGCTGCGCCGCAGCGCTCGCTGCCAGGCACCCAGCGACACCGCTCTCTTCTGACGAGGGTCTGAGTTACATGGGGACACCCCAGAGAAGGGTCGAGCCACTCTGCGCCGGGCTCTGGCGCTGCCTTTGACAGGGTGTTTCCTACCTGTGAGAGGCCGCGGCTGGAGCTGTAGGAGCTGGCGATGGCGTTGCGGGTGGAGCTGGGGATCCCACTCGCATACATATTGTTGAGGGAGCTCATGGAAGAGGTGCGTGACCTCTTGTTTGAGCAGTCATCCAGGCAGTGCCAGACAAGGCTCCTCTTCAGAGAGCCGGGCCTACAGGAGGTTAAAGACTTTATGAGCTCCCCAAGCACCCTGCCCACAGGTCCTTTAAAGGCAGGGCATGTAGAGGAAAGCAACCCCGCTCTTTCTCACAGCACAGGGCTTGGAAAGAGGCCTCAGCAGCAGCCCAGCTCTTATGGCCACCAGCCTGTGCTCAGGGTGACCAAAGGCATGGCCACAGCCCCCCTTGCTCTCCCCAGAAGCTGGGCTCCACAAGCAAAAGCCAAGTGCCTTTTGAAGAGCCCGTGGGCTTTTGGACCACCCCCCTCCCAGCTCCCAGCAATTGCATTTAGCCCGATGGGCACTTACTTGGGTATGAGAGAGGCAGGGGGG